AAAAAATGTCGCTTACGTTATTTTGGCGGTTAGGGCTCGATATGTATAGAAATTCATGAAAATTTGAATTATTTTTTTTTTGTAATATACATAAGTCTGATTTTTTTATAAATAAATATATAGCTTATGTATAGCTTATATACACACACTTGTGGCCAGCTTAATTAAGTTAGGTGCTTGTTATACAATGCGCTAGACTTTTATAAAAAAATAATAAAAAAAGAAAAATAGCTAGTTCCTATGTAACTAACTTAATTATCTGACCAAAAGTGTACATTAAATTAGAAGTCTTCAAGTTCTTGCATCAGAATATTTATTTTCAAAGTTTTTTTTCCTTGAGGTAATGCTAGTTTGTAAAAGTAAGCTTCAATAAATGTCCAAAATGTTGTGGAAGCTTTAGGGTACTCCACATTAAATAAATAAAAGGATTTGAAACATATATCCATACAGCGTAAAAAGCTTTGGAATGGAATTTTTGTACCATCTAAATATAAAAAAAATTCAGTGAATTTTGAGTAATTGTTGTCTCCTACCGACAGGATAAAAGGCTGTATGTTTTCTTTACGTTGGCTTAAAAAATCAATGTAATCATCTAGGTTTTGAAGACTTTGTCCGACAAAAGCATACGATTCCTGAGAGTCCTTTATGGTGAATCTGATTGTACATCTTTTCCCAGTATTATCCTTTTTCATAACGTGTCCTGTAGGGTAAAGATATCCATGTAGGCACCAAAAAGTCTTAAAAGCAAAGGACGTTTCATCTAAAAAAATAGAGCAAAAATGTATGTATATTAGAAAATTTTGTTACCCTTAGAGAAAATTCTTAAAGTACAACTTACCTAATCATACCTTTTTCTAAATCCCCTTCGGACATAGAGCTGATAATGATTTTTGTGGCACCGTCCTTTAAGCACTCACTTCTCTTAAGATGTAAAAAGAGCTTCAAAACTTTTTGCTTCCAGTCAACAAGAAAATTATCATGATTGGGAAAAATCGTACCAAAGTCTAGATCAATCTGAAAACATCGAAAGTGTTAGTTTTTATAATATCTCAAATAGGGAACCTTAAATCAAAATCTTACCAATCGATATCCGTTCGGCTTTTTATACTCTGGCCAGTCTACGAAAACTTGTTGAATGCTATTAAATTTTTCCTTTATTTGATGAATTCTATAATTTGCACTGGCCTGCCAGCAGCTTTCGAATTCTTCTGCTGTCAAATTGTCGTATTTAAGATGCTGTATGATTTCTTCTGCATGATCATCGCGAGCTGAAAATGTACATATTCATAAATTTTATAAAATTGTAACGAACAAACTAGTTTTTAATTTCATTTACTAATTTTATCAGCTTTGGTATTTTCTTCAGGTACAGGAATTATAAACAAACGGTTTTTGAAGCTTTTTTTTAAGTAGCAATATTTGGTATACAGTTTTCCTCTCTTTTCGGTTCTGTAGAAGTTCAACTTTTCATTTGGAAAAAGGCTTAGGATTGCGGGAAACAAATCATTAATAACTAAAGACATTATCGAGGAATTTGGTTCTTTATAAAAAATGTAGTTATCTGTTCGTTGGAAAACAGTTCTCCTTTAACTGTATAAAAAATACTCCTCTGGATGATTTAACCAACGTCGCTGGTGGCATTATTGCCATTTTCGATAGCTTTTCACCAGACGTAAGCACACCTTTCTTTAAAACAAAGTCTGGCTCCCTATTGATCACAATTTCATTTAAGATGGTGGTGTATCCTTTAGTTGCCAGTGTTTTTGCAAGAATATATTCTGATTTTATTGACTCAGTGATCCTTGAGCATGAATTTGTGATGCCCAAAAATTCAGATCTCAAGTCAAAATGGTGTCCAATTTTTGCTTCAACGAATCCTTTTAAAATATCCAAAATTGGATTCATTATCATATTTTTAACCATATTTGTTACATCCGTCGCGTCTTTTCTTGAAAAGTTGCTACGCCCATGCAAGGACGATGAAAATTGCAATACACTGACATGAAGGTCTTTTACCTTTTTGTCAACACTAAAATCTTCAGCTGAGACAATTTGCTGCGTGAAGGAAGTTGGTGGCGCACCGGCAGCTGTCGCAATATCTTCACTCTTTAAACCACTTGGAGCACTACTGCACCCTCTTGCAGGTTGTGACCACAATTCGTTGCTCGAATGCCTTTTCAGATGTATTTTTAAAATGTTTATTCCACTGAAAACTTGGTCACAAAATTGGCAGCTCAACCTATCTTTTGAGGTCAGAAGGTGAATTTTTTTTAGGTGATCAGCATAATTGTCAATATTTGCGTATTCCTTTAGGCAAAGTGTGCAAATCATTTTTAATTGGTAATATTTAATAATTTCCACACGTTTTACCTGTTTATTTCACTAAAACTTGCACTTTTCGCAAAAACACACTTCACTTTTCTAATAACCAGCAAATTAGTGATGCCAACACTGCCATTTCTAAACCGGGCAAAAATGTTTTTCTTTTGTGTCCTTAGTAAAAAATTTGATAATTATCATTGCTAAAATTTAAATATATGTATATCTTATAAATGTGCAAAAACACTTAAGTTTTTTTTTTTATTGACCAAAAAATAAACTTTTTGGTTTTTAATGGTGCATTTATTCTGAACTTTTAAAAGAAAAGAAAATACGAAGCTTAAGAATAGGGGTCTACTTACCGAATTTAGAAATAAGTATTCCATCCATTCACATACATACATATTTTCCAAGTCCATGGCGTAAATATACATCAACCGAAATTTTCCTTAGAACACAAATATAAAGAATACTAAATACTTTATATTGAAAAAGTTATGATTTGACTTTAATTAAAGCCGCAGACTGAAAAAATTCGTACGATTTATGTATGGGATAGTTTTCGTTGTCGAAAATCCAAGTTTGACAAGAGATTACGGAAATTTATTCCAATATATAATAGAATGAAAAGAATTTTCGTTGAAATAATTTTCCCTTTTTGCCTTGTGTTATAATCAAGTTGGCATTACTGTTAAAAATGGATGCGTAGATGTTTGTGAATAGTTTTCAGAATCTTTGTGAATACATTCATACATTTTGTGAACGTATTCAGAAAGTTTGAGAACACGTACATAAACTTTATGAAAATTATTCGTAAGGATTATAGAAAAAGTTTATGAATTATGATTCACAAATTCCTTGAATGGTATCATAAGTCCTATGAATTTTTTCATACGTGTTACGTATAGTATTCCAAAATTTTATGAACTATGTAATATACTCTATGAAAATATTTAATGAAGTTTGTAGGAAAAGTTTATGACTTTATATTCAGAAATGTTATGCATATTTTTCATAGTTTTATTGAACAGTGTTCTAAGGTTACGTGAACTTTTTCGTAAAATTTGTTAAAAGTATTCAAGAAAATGGTAAAACAAGGTTTAAGAACGATTGTTCATAAATATTTCAAGCATATACATAACCCTTGTGAATTGCTTCATAGTTTCTTTGAATAGTTTTAGAATACTTTGCGAACGTTTTCATAAGCTTTACGAAAACTATTCATAACAATTGAGAATACACCTCTAGAATGATAATTCACAAACTTTTTGAATAAGTTCATAAGCTTTATTAAAAGCTTCATTAGTCTTATGTATTTCTTCATACGTCTATTGAATAATTTTAGTAAAATTGATGAATGCGCTGCATAAACGGTTTGTGAACGCTGTTCACGAAAATTTTATGAATTATTTTTATCCGTGTACTCATGGAGAAAATGAGAGCTATTGGACAAGGTGGTGTGGCAACTCCCATGCAAATTGATTTTTCTATGCTGCATATCTCTGGAGGTGTTTATTGTAGAGGAGTGGAACTTGGCACCGAGTTGTGTATACAAAATTAATTCCATACTCATGGAGAAAAATTTGCGTTATTCGAAAAAAGGGCATGGTACCCCCCGTACAAATCTACTATTTTATACTGCATATCTCTAGAGGTTGTTCATGGTAGAGTACTGGGACTTGGTACTGGGGTATGTAAAATCATTTCCAAACTCATGGAAAAGATGAGGGTTATAGGAAAAAGGGGCGTGGCACTTTCTGTAAAAATTGACTGTTTCTTGCCACATATCCCTGCAAGTGTTTGCGGAAGAATACTGGAACTTGGTATGGAGTTGAGTTTACAAGCTAACGCAATACTTCACATAACTCCACATAAGAATGACGGTCACCAAACACCCCACACGCGCAGCTCAGCACTTCATACAACTCAACATAAAGAAGATGGTAATACAACACCTTACACGCGCAACCAAAAATCTGGACAACAAATTCCAGAGCAGCGACTGGCGTTTCTGTGGGAAACGCCTGATCAGCAAAATACCTGTCACGTTGACAGCACTCGGGCTTAACTTTTAGGTTAAGCTTTCGAATTAAGAGAATTCGTTAAGTCAATTGTTAAACGCATATCAACAAATAAAGACCGGCCTCGTCCGGAACAATTTTTTTTTTGTAACCTACCGAAGCCGGGTAGTTTACCTTACATACAAATGTATCAATTGTGAGTTATTAAAAAAGGAGGCATGTCGCCTCCCATACATAATAAAACTTTCTTAATACATATCTCTAGAGAATTTCAAATTTGTTATGGAGATTTATTTGATACTGACAGAAAAAATTTCATTTAATGGAAAAGGGAGAGCCGGCTTCGGCCTTATAATCTAAAGCTCTCATGACTCACACATACCTCTTGAGGTATTTAGCTACATTAATGAGAAGTGTTATTTTATCAAGGCCAGGTTAATAAATTTGATTTGGAAATATTAGAACCCGCCGTGGCACCTCCAAGAAGGTTACACGTTCACGCGTCGTATCCCTAGAACCATTTTAGGGTAAACTTAGAGGGTTTGATATCTTTCGTATGCCTTGCGCGCAGACGAGATTTTATAATTTCATAGTTTTGAGCGGGCCTAAATACCTTAACTCGCTTAAAAAATAACGAAATATAACAAAATGGGCACAGACATAAAATATAACATCATTAAATTATTTTTCATATTTGTATAAAAACGTGGCAGGTATAACCTAGTTCTGCATAAGAGTTGATGCATCCTTATCTACTCCTCGCCACCGTACTTTTGTTTTTTCAAGCGCGCTATCGCTCTTCGTACCTCGTCATAGTCAGGTGGTGGAACATCGACTCCATCGTCATCGACTGGGGCCTCGGGTTCGTCTTCTCCACTGATTTCAGCGCTTCTACCATTCAGTAGGGTGGAAAAATGTTCCCATCATAATTTAGGTACATTCTGGACATCGGTCACTAGGTCGCCATTGTTGTTCTTACAGGAGTTCGCCCTTCCGTAAGTCGCCTAACCCTCTGGTAAAATTTTCGGGCGTTCTTCCTGTCGGCCAGCATCTCAAGCTCTTCGCACTCACGTATTTCGGCCTCTCTCTTATTGCGGAAAATACGTCTTGCCTCCTTCTTCAGTTCCCTATAACGGTCCCACATGGCTCGCGTTGCGCCCGATCACAGCGTGGCCCTATAGGCGAGTCTTTTTTCTCTGCGGCTTCTTGACATTCCTCATCGTACCAGTTGTTCATTCTGTCTCGCTGAAATCCAACTACTTCTTCGGCCGCAGTACTCAATGATCAGGAAATGTGATTCCACTTCTCGCTTCTGTCGGATTGTTGAAGAGTGCTCTCAGAGAGCAGGTGTGTGAGTCGAGTGGCGAATAAATTGACCGTCTATTGTGATTGCAGCTTTTCGATGTTAAGCTTTCCTTGCATTATTGGGCGCACATTTTTTGCTGTACAGAGGCGGATGCGTATCTTGGCTACAACAAGATAGTGGTACGAGTCGATGTTTAGCCCCCGGAGTGTACGTACGTCTAAAACGATGGAAGCATACCTTCCGTCTATGAAAACGTGGTCAATTTGGTTTATCGTTTTTCGAGCTCGGTGGATGTTCTTATGCTGAAACCTAGTACTACATATTACCATGTTTCGAGCCCCGGGGAAGTCGATCAGCCTCAGTCCGTTATCGAACGTTTCGTCGTGGAGGCTGAATTTTCCGACGGTGGCGCCAAAGATCCTTTCCTCGCCCACCTTGGCATTAAAATCGCCGAGCACGATTTTAACATCGTGTCGCGGGCAGCGCTCATATTTATGCTCTAAGCGCTCATAGAAAAGATCCTTGGACGCCTCGTCCTTCTCTTCCGTCAGGGCACGGGCGTGGATGAACGTTCGTCCACCGGGATGAACGCCAGTACTCGGCGACGGAGTCTCCCTCCTACCACGAATCCAGCACCGAATTTGCGCTCCTTTACGTGGCAACTGTAGTAGGCGTCGCAAGGCTTCACACTTACTTTTCCTTGCCCCGTTCATCGCATTTCTTGGATGGCGGTGATGTCAGCATTTGTCTTCCTGCCTGACGATCTCATGCACCCTAAATGCGATGTTGCATCTACCTGGAAACCAGTTCATAAATATTAACACGAATTGTAAAAGTGGCGAATTAACAAGGAAATATCACGGTAGGTATATCAATTGCTTCATTTGAACTATATTCAAGAGATCACACGACTCAAGACGCTGCGGAGTGGTAGCTATCCACTACACCACAGCATCCGCCATTGAACTTACATTGATGTGATTAATTATCCATACCGCTCTTCTTAGCTTCACAATCAAAATCTATACAAATAAGATATATTTTTCTCAGATAAATATCTCAAAATAATACCAGAAAAAATCGAAAATCTTATCAAATGTATTATAATTTTTTTAGTATCAATTAAAACGAATAACAAAATGTTTTTATATTGAAACTAGTTTTTTGGGACGTATAATGTGCTTTATCTATTTTTCTTGCTTACAAGAGCAAAAGAAATGTCTACATACTTCACGTTAAATACTAATGCATTTATAAGTATGTTTATAGTTATACAACGAATAAAAAAGTCTTACTTTTAATGACACCGTATGATATCGCTTTTTAAAGCGAGATCTTAAAGTAAACATGGAACAAAATAATAAGGCATGAAAAGTTTTATCGCGCCACATGTTTGGTTTGTCCATAGCTAAACGGCTGGTATTCTTGACTTCCAAAAGTCTCACTTCACATTTGACATCAGTAACGAAAACAGAGTGTCAATCACCTGACACCAATATTTCACGACAGTCTTTGACATGCACTGCGATATATGTATATATCAAGGATGCTCAACAAACGAAACGATACCATGTCGTTTCGTTAAAAAGCAAAATTAACTTATCAAAAAGATTTTGTTACGTTTCGGCGCCACGGTATCAAAACGGAATCAAAGCGTTAATGTTGAAACGTTTAAAAATTTGTGTTAACGTTAATTTTACAATGTGCTGGCAACGCTTCAACAACCCACGATGAGCTTTGTATTTACACGAAGGTTCACGATATAAGCCTCGGTTAATATAAATACATCATAATTGAAAAAAAAAATC